ATGGATATGATGTCATGTAACACACTGATGTAATTAAAATAACCGTGGCCTGATCATTTCGACAGGACTTGTCACTGGATAAGGAAATAGCTTAGCATGTCGTTTCTTAGGAACCAACAATAAACAGGATTGGTTTTGACAAGGACTTGTAGCCAAAAAGGAAAAGTTGCGTGTTTCCTGCTGATAATATATGATGTAAGCGATTTTAAAAAATACATAAATAGCTCCCCAAAAAAGTGTTAGATACTTCCTTTCATCAATTACTTTAATCCAAATTTCTTTGATATATACATGTCGTCCCCAATTAACAAAGTCCAAAAAGCTAAGACGAATCGTGTCCCCAAACGTGGCATAGCCGAACTTCTCGTTGGAAGTATGGCTTCTTCCCGTAATGCCCCTATTACTCCTGCCATCACTACCGACACTTCTGATACTGCTTCTTCTTCTTCTTCTTCTTCTTCGTCCCTATTCCCAACCCGTGACACCTCTGGTGCTGCTGCTTCTACGGATCCAGCTGATAATATGGATGTTGATGTCGAATTTCACGAAGATATTAGCATGGTTGATATTGATTCTGACGTTTTGATCTTGCCACGCGAAGAAGAGATTCGCCTAGACGAACTAGATCACGAAAAGTTTTTGAACGGTGGATATTCTGATCCGGATTCTGACAACGAAGGTGTGCTTGAAGAACTCCCAGAATTTAACGATTTCGCGACAGATAACTCCACTGATATCGAAGAAAATTTAGAAGGTATGTCATTAGATGGTGAAAATTTATTACCTTTGGGTACATTACCTAACATTACCTGAAAATAGTTGTATCTGTCCATTACACCAATCAAGAAGGACCCATTATCAAAAATGTTGTTATTCCTGACTACCCTTTTACTCAAAATGATCTTGATAGCATACAGTTCAACTACATTTGCATCAACAACAACATGACGGTGCAGGCCGTAGCCAACATCAAGTCATTCGTCGAAATGCTAGTAAACAGAAATAAGTCGCGTAAGTAAACCATTTCCCGTGGCCTCAAGTAAGCTTATTTGTTAATCCAATCTACCTTACATTAGAATTATCTCCCAAAAAAAGAGTACCTGCATTGAAGGAGTGTATGGCCATGATTAGAAGGAAAATACCACTGGATTTTGTTCGTACCCATGAAGTTTGCTCCGCTAAAGGCTGTTATCTTTTCGATTCTGTTGAAGATGTCACATTAACGGCTTGTCCTGAATGCGGTGCTGCCAGAAGTGCGAAATCTGTTGTCAAAATGGTAGATATCGGGGATCATTTGAGTAAGATGCTTGCTTGTGATGGATTTCGTTCCGAGGTAGAGCAGTATAGAGATGTAATCGATGCCATGACAGAAGATGATCCATATACCGACTTTTTTTCAGGCGCTGCTTACAAGGAACTCCGTGAAAAAGGTTTATTTGAAAATAAGCAAGACCTTGCCATTGTTCTCTGTGTGGATGGGTTTACTTCTAAAGTTTCAAGACAAAGCATGGTGATGGTTCACGTAATAATTCCAAGCATCGATCCTTCCATTAGGTATTATTTCAAATATATATAGTCCAGGTCCTAAAATTAATACTGATATTGTAATGATTTTCCCTATAGGTATACAGATGAATATACGTTTCAAGTAGCTATCTTCTATGGAGATACCAAAACCAATTTTAGTTCGTACTTACGGCCTATAATCAGCAGTCTCGATACTTTGAGTACAAACCCGATTGTAGTTAAAAAAAATGGTGTTCATGTTGCTACATCCAAAGTTTTTAATCTTGGTGTGATTGCTGATGGCGTTGAGATCAACCAGCGTTTGTTGATGTTTGGTGGTCATACAAGCACGTATGGGTGTAGATTCTGCTTGGGTAAGTAAACGAGTCCTTACAGAATACGAAAATCCGTTGACATTTCTCTTATTCAAATTAGTGAAAGGAGAGCGCCCAATTGATGGTGGAAAACTTGGCAAATATTTTATTGACAGAACTTCGTCAATCAGATCAAAGTCCTTGTTGCTGTTGGAGGAGGATATTGTAAGTGCTCCATTATGAAATCATCTACCAATACTAAATATATTACCTCTATAGCCTGCCGAATTCAACAATTACGCGATCAAAAGCCCTACACCATTTGGACGCTTAAACACCTTTCTGTCGATTGATTTTTTCATGTGTGATGAGCTTCACATGTTCTCTAACGTCAGCAAGCTCTGTTTTGACATTCTTTCTCCTCGTTACAACGACCGTTACAAGTTTGCTGGTAGAGAAGATAAATATCCATTTTGCCTTTCTTCTGCCGAATTTATAAAAATCAAACGATCCATGGATGACTCTCGTTGTAATATTCCCTCTGACTTCAATGGCTCCTTCCAGGGTATTGTCTCTGAAAATGCTCGGTCGATGTATCGATCTGTCGATTGGATTGCCTGGCTGGTTTACGTGGTGCCCACTCTGATTGCATCTATCTTTGGTAGTAGGAATACTGCTGGTAGAAGTACTGCCTCTGCGTTGATTTCCCTTTCTCGTGGTGTAAAACTGAGTTTGCAGTGGTCCATTAACAAAGATGATCTGAAAGAGATTGAAAAGTAATTAGTCAATTAATCATATATTTACCAAGCCTAACCCTTACTAACCTCCAATGTCATTAAGATCTTTCGATGACTGGTTCAAGTATCTGGACAGCTGCCTAGTATCTCAGACCATTTCTCGCACGATCCTCAAGTACAATATGCATCAACTGCATCATATTCCTTACATGATCAAGCGAATGGGGTAAGCTGCCTTTACCAATAGTTATTAACTGTATAATATTTACTGACTAACTTTCTTTAGGCCCCTTAGATGCTACTCAGCCAGATCTCTCGAAAGGTCCATTGGAGCTTACAAAAAACGAATCAGATCAACGATGCATCCAGGTGTAAATGCTGGTAATATCATGGAAACGCGGGAAATCTTCAAGTTTTTTCAATTGTCCAAAATATTTGACTTTTCTGCCTTGACTGCTGTTGCCAACAATCCCAATAATTACATGTCCCATCCCAACAATGATCCTAATTCTCCTCAACTATGGTCTCCTTTCCATGTGTCTGATGCGGGTTCATTGGTTGTACTCAATTTGGTCCGAAAGCTGACATTGGACAAGACTAGTTGTATCAAAGGTGACATTCGTACTCTTCCTTGGTTGAAAGCTTTAATGGATTGTTTAAGTCGAATGGTTGGTTCAAAGCAGGTCAATATCCCCAATTGTTTTCTTCGTCAAGAAGTGATAATTTCGGCCAAACTGTTTTTTGACAACCAGGTGTACATTTCTTCCATGTCAAAAGAAAAAAACAAGTCGAGCTCTCGTGGTGGCGAGTATGTGATGTTTACTGCTGTTCATAAAAATAGGTAAGTGTTTGTTGTTGTGTTTCTATTGTGTGTATGCTGAATTTCTTTTAAATATAGTCGTTTCTCTTCGGTATCCAACTGGTATGTCTGCAAGGTCCTTTTCTTCTTCAGATTCCAAATGTTCGAGGAAAGACAGGGGTCCCATTACGTGTATGGTGAGTTGATGAGAACTCATGGTGTGTCGCCATACTCTAAATCCGTTCCTCGTGTCCAACCTTTCAACGGAACCGACAAAAAATTCGTGGTTTTTGACGCTGAGGATATTGTTTCTGTCGTTGGCTTATTGAAAGAAACTGGTGATGAATCTACATTTCAATATGTACTTCGAACTGGTGATGCCTTCGAAAAGGACATGTCTGCTACGGCTGGCCAAGTAAAAAACATTGTTTTAACTTGAGCAAAAAAATAAAAATAAAAATTGAAAAAGGAACGAAAAAGCAAAAGTTGAACTTCAGCACCACTAGAGGAAAAAAAAAATTTTGTCGTGTAACAACAAATGTACCCTCTCCCATTCAAACATTCACTTTTCGCTTATTACTTCCATCAATATTAACTTTATAAACTTTTTTTTCTTATCAACTATAATAAATATGTCAACAAGCATCATTTCCCAACTTTTAATTTCATTTTTACGGTAGTTTTTCATTTTTTTAAAAATCGGTATCGGTGCAGTTTTTAAAAAAGACCGGCGGTATCCGTAATTTCTAAAAATTGCACCGATACTGGCGGTATCGGTCCAAAATATGTTTAGACCGGTAAAAAGTTTCAGGGTGCTGTTGCCTGTTCCGTCGTGGCTCAATCGTCTTAAGGTCACCGCAAGTTGGATATGAACATCCGTTTGGGCGACAAAACTCTTGTTGTTGAAGACAGGATGGTCTTCAATAAGGCGAAGAAGTTTCAAGAAAGACTCCTTCTTCATTCGACACATCTTGACAAACTCTTCGTCATCCCACTTGAGAAAAAACTCACGGTACTGGTTAAGTTTAGGGATGCCTGCTCCACTGTTCAAAACGCGTTTCGTTTCTAATCCGCTCAATAATTTGTGCATCTCATCGGCTTGTTTATCGTCTTCAATGATGACACTGTGCTTATGCAAAGTTTTCATTTCTTTCAAGGTTTGTTGTCTGGTTGATACTTTGGGCATTTTAAAGGTAGTTTATAGAGAGATTTATAAGTAAATGAGTAGTAAAAGAGGAGTAAAAGAGGAACTAAATCAGAGAAGTGCTAGAGTGTACTTTGACTAAGTGACAAGGTTTTTAGACAGTCACCCACACAAAAAAAGCTCCCGGAATTTTTAAAAAAAGCGCCCGATAATTTTACAAAAAGTTTAATGTTTGGGACCCCCTATTACAGTTTATCCATTCAATGACAGGGTCCTTGATTGGATTACTAAAATAAATTTATGAGAAACTAGAAGATTCGGCAGCTACTCAACCAATCCAGGAACGATTATGAAATCTGATTTCAGTTTGACATGTGAGGGAGCTGGTACTGTGTCGTACCAATAGGAATGTATTCGCAATATGGTACTTATAATACATAGGTTATATGTATTATAATTGAGTGACAAGATAAGAGTAATTGTATTCGTGGAATTAGGCGTCAAATACGACAAGGAGGATATTCTACTAATTGATGCTTATTGTCAAATTTAGCTTTTTCAATTATAATTTGGGCCATGGTTTTAGCTGTATAAGCAGGAAACACGATATCTGTCATGTAATCAATTCTTTTGATCAATTCCTCTTCAGACTTAGGCTTACGTTGTTCACTTGATACAGAAGGAGTTTTACGGAATCCGTATGGCTCGATATTTTTTCTCGCAAACATGGGAGAAAAAGGGCGTAGAGTTTAATCTCTTCGAAATGTTGTGTTTTGAGGTAAGTAAAAATTATAAGGCAGTTTATGAATAATTTGAGACTGTTTATAAGATTGTCTTTATTATGAAATAAAATGAACAAGTATTTATATAAAAAAGACTATCTGCTGTACCACTATCTTTAGTGTATCTTTGAAGTTGTTATCATTTTCCCAGTGTGTATCCTGTTACCTTTAACTGCTTATTTTGTAAATATGTTACACTTGGAATTACTGTCATCTTAGACACATTGTACTTCCATATCTTTAGTAAGCCTTTGTCACTGTGTTCTTGTAACCTTGTGATATGATAGTACTAACTATCTATATTGGGTAATTGATTCCTTAATCATTCTTAATGTATTGATGTCATAGATATAGGTTTATTTAATGTAGCAACAATATAGCAGATCACCACACGAAATACGATTATTTAAAGCTAACTGAACAGCATTCAAATGTAAATCCCAATCGTCACCGACATCTCGCGTTGCCTTAGAAAGTAGTCTTTTAACTGATTGAACGTAACGTTCACTGATACCATTTGCACTTGCATGCAGCGGTGTGATGAATCTATGATCAAAACCCATGCCGTCAGCGAGATCTTTCGCAAGACAATGTTTAAACTCCGCGCCGCTGTCTGTTTGTAACACAAGCGGGAATCCAATTACGGAAAAAACCTCAACAAGCGAACGCAGAACAGTGGAATTTTTCTTATCAGGAAGGGCATGTAATATGCAAAATCTAGTGGTTACGACACAATTATTTTAAAATAATTATTACCAATAATTGAGGTTGTATTTAATGGACCACCTAAATCAAGTGCATAATGATCACCAGGGAGACAACTATATATAGGTCTCAAAGGATGATACCCACGTTTTTGTATGTTATGCTTTTGGCATTCCTTACATTTACGTACAAATTCGATACAGGCATCGATTAAATGTGGCCAATGGATCCCTTCACTATGAATTCGTTTTACCATTTGCTCAGCAACTTAATGGCCTACTTTATTATGTGCATCATCTAAAAGATCTTGACGTTCTTCTTCAGGAGCGATTAAGTAATCTGCATGGATACTCTGCCCAGTTTAAACGTAAAATACTTGCTTGACAGCAGAATAATCTGTGTGATCTATGTCATGGTAGTCTAACTCAGTGTAACATTATTAACATATACACTATTGTGTTCCTCAATGGGAGCGGGATCGTCACAACAATGATTCTTATCCTTGTTATCTGACGTCGATGAACTAACTTCACGAAACAAAGCAGAATTACAAGCCACGGATTCATTTTTTCTGATACCGTTGCTAAACTTTTGTGGTATTTGACAAAAATATTACAATGAAAAAGTAATGAGAAAAAAGTATATCTTTATTGGAGGTAAAAATAGACTAAAAGAACTCTGCTGCGATGAAATAATTGATCCTTTTTATATTGAACAACTTCCCCTGGTAGTTGTGTTGAGTCAACCTTTCTGGTCTTGTAATAAATCTATACTCAGTTTCCCGCCTTTCATTAAATGAATTCTACTCGTTAGAATTGATTATAATTAACTTCGCCCTTGTGGAAATCGGTGTAGATTTATAAAATAAAAACAAGAAAATTATCAAACTTGCAAAAATTAACTAAGGCTTTATTAAACAAATAAAAAGGGGTCTTTATATACACATTATTTCAGACATTGATCACAGATGGGCTGATGACGGTCGTGGGTAGATTCATCCAGATAATACTCGGATGTAATGATCCCATATAGAAAGGCCATAATGAGATGTCAATAACAATAACAATAACATTCATTCTTAAACTGTGTATGTCTTGTAGCACAATATTCAAGGGAAAATATAGTTCTTAATTCAGATAGCTGTGGCCCCTCAATGTGGCTGATGTAACCTTCATATGTGTTCATATCAATGTTATTATTTAAATGTATGTCTTATACTTGTATGAAGGATGATATGAGATCAAGCCTGTACATAAAGTAAATGATCAGTATTTAATATAACAGTATCAATAAGAATTATATTTAGGATTATCAAATGGAAGATTTAAGAAGTGTAGATAGAGTCATATATTAAGTATATAGCCTCGATCACGACAGCCCTGAATCAACCGATCTGGGACACTCTTATTGTTTTGTTTGAAATACGGAACTCCAGTAAGATATTGTGTAACGGTGGCTAGTTAAAAGATGCATAAGGTTTTTGTGTTTAATTGGCTGTGGTAGAACATGTAGTTATGTCTGATCATTTATCCATTCTGTTGATTATTTTTATCTAAGACATGGGTAAATATGTGATCCTAAATATAGAACATCTTATCGATGTTTGTATATTTAGTTGTTGATTATAGGCATCCAAATATTCCATGCACTACTTCTTTTATACACTTACAGTCGTATAAGTTGTGTTTATCAATATATAAGTAAATGAACCATTTATATTAATAGCTGTTCTATTCTCTCTCTGGGTAGCTAATCCATTGAGAGAACTATTAATATTAAGTTTCTCTTTCTTATAATTCTTGATTGATCTGAGAAGTTTCTCTTCTCGATCGGTGATATCGTAACTCAGTGGTATAGCATTCTGTATCCAACTGTCATTCGTATATGTAGTAAAAATAGACTTTAAGAGAGAATAGATTTACAGAAAAAAATAGATAAAAAAACAAAGAGAATACAATTATAAGTCTTGTCGATTTATTTGTATAAAAATTGATTAAGAGCTAACTAGACGGGCAGGTTTGCCCTGATATTTATAGAAGATAGAAGATGTTGTGGCTTGTATTTTTGACAGCTCAGATCCATCGTAGTTTTATATGATGGACCATTCATTTGGTTTATTGAAGATCGTAAGGTAGCTGTCCTTGATTTATTATTGTTCCTTAAATTCTCTGATCTCTCATTGGTCGGAGCCTAGAGTTGTGTTGTAATGAAGAAATTTCCATAAAGCCGGGTTACTTATTCCCGATCTTTTATCCGTGAAACATCTTTCCTTTTGTAGACAGTAGCATTTATTATGTGGTTTTAGCACAGTATATCGTATTTAGGCCAATCATGCAATCTTTTATATAGAAGTATGTAATCGAAGTAGGAGAAGTTGTATAGCAGTATACAAGCGTATGCTGATATGCAACATCAAAGGTTGTTTTAATTTCATAGTTTATTTATTTAGACGATTTGCTTAATTATTCTTTAAGTGGATCGTACCCAAATACGACACCTTCAAAGCTTTTGGTCAGATTTTCCACCGCATCTTGGATGACAGCTGATGGGTTTTCGTCAAAAACGTCCGTAAGGTAAGCTTTGTGTTGTTCATTTAGCTTGCTTTCGGGTCTGTTTGAAGTGCGATTGGTTTTTTTAAAGGGAATGTTCTTATCTGGATCTTGATCGTAAGCACGTTTCTACTTTCTTGCAGTCTCATAGTTGACGTTAGCGGCTTTGGCAGCTTCAGACGGTTTCATGAGCATTTCCTGAATGAAATAGAAATAACGCAATCGATCATCATCTGTGTAATAGTTGTAAACAGTTGGTCTTTCTACCCTTTTTGCTGCTTCTGACATGTCAATATCCTTAGGTTCTTCATTATCTGTGGTTAATTTTTTTATTTTTAATGTAGTTCTTGAGATTCACTAATTTTGTCATGCGAAATGAGGGTTCTACAACAAAATTTGATGCTTCTTCTCCAGATGCGTTTACAATTCCGCCTCTACCATCTTCTTGAAAGAAATTCATTTTGAATTATTTTATAAAAGTTCACTGAGCAGGTAAAAATATTTGTAAGAAGTGTGTCGTGATCGAGGCTATATACTTAATATATGACTCTATCTACACTTCTTAAATCTTCCATTTGATAATCCTAAATATAATTCTTATTGATACTGTTATATTAAATACTGATCATTTACTTTATGTACAGGCTTGATCTCATATTATCCTTCATACGAGTATAAGACATACATTTGAATAATAACATTGATATAAAAAAATATGAAGGTTACATCAGCCACATTGAGGTGCCACAGCTATCTGAATTAAGAACTACATTTTCCCTTGAATATTGTGCTACAAGACATACACAGTTTAAGAATGAATGTTATTGTTATTGTTATTGACATTTCATTATGGCCTTTCTATATGGGATCATTACATCCGAGTATTATCTGGATGAATCTACCCACGACCGTCATCAGCCCATCTGTGATCAATGTCTGAAATAATGTGTATATAAAGACCCCTTTTTATTTGTTATTATAAAATGGATGTTCCGTAGAGTTTAATAAAGACGTGGGTTGATTGAATTTAAAGTGAGCACCAAATCAATTAATAGGTTTTGATTAGACCTTTGTTATCGTATTGTTATTAAGGGAAAGAGAAAGGAACAATCAAGAGTTCGTAGAAGAATCAAGGATTATATTGTATGAGTTATTAAGTTAACGAGAAGCTTTTATCAAGACTGATTTAAGTATGTAATGGTACTTCAAAATAGAGTTGTTTTACTATACAGGGTCTTAATTACGTTATGATGGTTCCGATTAAGGATGTTTCTTAACGAATTTTAATAAAAGTAAATGATTTTGTTTGACGGAGTAAAGTGTGTACTGTTTCTGATTATAGAAAATAATAGAAGGTGTTCACACAAGGTCAGAAATATATAGAATGGTTCCAGATAAGGATGTTTTCTTATATATTTATACAAAAGAGAAAGAAGATATAGAAGAGTTTTTATTGAGACTGTTTAAAGTACGTATGTTACTATTCAAAAGAAAGTTGTTTACTGTACAGGATCTCGAGATTTACTGAATGGTTCTTATAAATTAAGATGTTTTCAAGTAAGTCTTTATAAAAAAAAGAAGAAAAGAAAAAGAGAAAGAATAAAAGATAAAGAAAGAAAGAAAAAGAAAAGGAAGTAAGAGCAAATATGGCTCGGTTATAGTAAGTTTTGTGAGAGTAAAATATGTCTGAAGTTTATTAAAAAAAAGAAGGGGTTATTTATAGTCGTTTTTACGAATGGTGTAACCATCGTACTTTGAAAGCTCTTAATTAATGCCTATGTTTGGTTAAAATGTTTTCTTACATTGTTTAATAAAGCCTTAGTTAATTTTTGCAAGTTTGATAATTTTCTTGTTTTTATTTTATAAATCTACACCGATTTCCACAAAGTGGGCAAATTAAGTTCAAACATTCGGGCAAAATAGCTTTTTTTTCTGGGCAATTTAACTTCACGCTGTTGAGGATGTCATAGATTATAATAAAAGAATCATCACATTTTACATAATAATGGATGATCATGTATAAATATTCATGGCTCACACTTCGCCCCATTTGCTATCATCAGAACCGTTGGTGTCTGTGCACAAGGGGATTTGCCTTGTGACGAGTAAAATATTATAATACCATAAAAGTATAGTACAATCCCATAGGCGGAATATTCGGTTACTGAATATTGCACGCACTAAACTTTCTCTTTGGCATTTACGTAATGTCACCTGCGGAGATGAATTTAGATCCTCACGTACTTTTGTCTTTACTTTGTAAGGCAGGAATTACTTCATAACATATTTATTTAAACAGACATTACGTATAACATTATATCATATTCCTCTAACGCGTCACATATATTATCCGAAAGCCATCTAATCATTTAGTATAAATACCTGTAGTTTTTGCTAGTAGAATTCCCTAATCTAAATTTTCTCGAAATAAAAGATATACAAAGTTCTAACAGTATTTTCTTTTGTTACCTTAATTTACATTTTATCTCCATCCCAAACATTTTTTACTGTTAATTACTCAAATGAATTCTACTGGTGTCAACTCTCCTGCTGCTAGTCAAGTTAGCCAAGACTTTATGGTTAACCCTTTAAATGTATCCGCTGGTAACGCTCCCTTCTTCGGTGCTAATGGTTTCAATGCTACTGGTAATGCTGAAGGTGACGAACAAATGAGTGAACCCCATACTCTTGGTTCATCTGCATCTCAAGCTGGTTCTGCTTCCGCTCCTTTGGATGAGCATGCAATGTTGAATAATATCATTCAAGGTCTTCGTGAAGAGAAGGCTGCTCTACTTACTGCTTTCAGTGAGGCTCGTGCCAGAGGTGATTATGGTGCGTCTGATATTGCTCTGGAAGACATTGATCGTATTAATCGTCAGATTATCAAGTTGAACGGTTTTGACTCTGCTTCTGTGGCATCCACTACCAACTCTGGTAGCTATGATGGTTTTTCTTCCTCACATTCTGGTGATGGTCTCTCCTTGTCTCGAAGAGACTTACCCCGTTTCCAACTGGCCTCCAGTATTGTCCGTCCTTTTCCCAACGATGAGGTGTTTGAATCTGCTGAGCATTTCCTGCAGACGTTTGAAAATATTATTGCTGGTTCTGCCCGAGATATGGAGAAGGTGTGGAAACAATTTTTGCCTTTGTGTTTGCCTAGTAATGACCACGCTTGGGTCAACACGGAGTTGAAGAAGTGTACTTCGTGGGCTAGTGCTCGTACCGCGTTCAAGGAGTATCATGGGTCATCTAAAATTACCAGCCACTACACGGATATGGTCTTCACGATGAAAATGACCATGCAAGAGTCAATCACGGATTATTCGAAAAGATTCTTGCAAACAGTGTTAACGCTGGTTTAGTCCCAAACGGACCCATCGAATTGCTGATCGGTTCCTCTCTTCCTTGGTCTTGCCTGTGCCAAACCATTCTACGTATGACGCTGGCTAGAACCGAAATTTTCGCCAACAAGGACAAGGGTTGGACGGTTGAGTACATTACCCAAGTCGGTCGTGACGTGCTAGGTGATGATAACTCAGTGTATGCTGGTGCTGCTGCGGTGATTCCCTCTGGTGTGAAGAGAGAGGAGTTCTCGTCTGGTCGTGACGTCGAGGTCCGTCGTAAGAAGTTCCCTTTCAAGAACAAGACTGTGAACCGAGTGTCTAAATCCTTCTTCTGCACCCAACATGGCAAGAACGGTACTCACGAGACGAAGGACTGTTTTAGTGGCAAGAAGAAGAGTGCGATCGCAAGTGGCAGCCGTAAGTGTTACAGGTGTCAGCTTCCTTGGGCTCCTGGCCATCAGTGTCAAGAGAGTCGTCCTGTCCTTGCCGTTTCCGGTTCAGCCGAGAAACAGGCACCACCAGCCGCTTCCATTGAGGAGCAGGCCACGACCGAAGTCAGTACGATGATGGAGGGATTGTCGTACGACAATTGTAAGTATCCGAATTACGAGATAAAGAGAGATTCAGAAAGTAAAGCTAATGCATTTAATCTTTTGACTCCTATAATTATAGAGAACGAGCACCTGGTCGGGGCCATTGATACGGGTAGTAGTACCACATTTATAAAAAAGAGTACACTATTAAATAAACTAAAAATAAACAAAATAAATAAGTTAAATGGTTCCTATAATTTTTTGACTCCTAATAGTGGAGCAGCTCGCATTGGCAAAACTAACCTTTTGAAATGTAAATATTCTAATGGTATTGTATTTGATCATGCTTTTGAGGTCATGGAGTTCAATGATGGATTTGAGTTTGACATTTTACTTGGCAAAGATATTCTTCCTAAAATGAATATTGGTTTGACCGGGGTTGCTTATAAACTTGATGGTGCTTTGTCACACTTAGATGATAATGCAGCTTTTGAAAATGTAAACATTGATCACGCTAATGAACATGAACCCGATAATTCGCCTGCAGGTACGCCTGAAGAAAGAGCGAGATTCTTCGATCTTATAAAAGAATCAGTTGATCGTAACCAAGCTATTTCACCATCCTCATCTTGTCCTATGCCTGAGTCAATCATTCGTTTACCAACTAAAGAAGGAGCTACGTCATATCGCAGACAGTATGCCATTCCACATGCGTTAAGACCAGTATTAGATAAGCAAATTGATGAGTGGTTGAAAACTGGTACAATTATAAAGTCTAAAGTCAACACGTCCTTTAACCATGCATTGTTACTTGTTCCTAAACGTGACAAGCTGGGTGCAATTGTATCGCATAGAGTCGTAGTTGATCTGAGAGGCTTGAATAATTTGCTTCCTCCTTCCTTTAACTTTCCTGTACCTTTGGTCAGAGAAATATTTGATAACTTGGCTCATAAGAAGGTATTCACCACTTTGGATTTATCGAACGCGTATCATAGATTTAAGGTGGCGCCTGAAGATGTTCACAAGTTGACATTTACACACAATAATGCCCAGTATTCGTTCATCAAGGGATGTTTTGGTGTAAAGATGTTAACATCACAATTCCAGAAATGTTTAGCGACCCTCTTTGATGGAGTTGACTGCGTTCAGAATTTTGTAGATGATTGCATTATTGCCAGTGATAGTATTGAGCAACATGCGAAGGATGTAAAGCTAGTCGTTGACAAATTGACGTCCGTAAATTTGATTTTAAATCCAAAGAAGTGTTCTTGGTTCCAGCACTCAGTGCGACTCTTGGGCTTTGTAGTTAATGCAAAAGGCACTAAAGTAGATCGTCAGAAGTTGACTGGTAGTGTTGATAAGTGGCCTATTCCCAAAAATAGTAAGCAAATCCAATCGTTTATGGGTCTGATAAATTATTTCAGAGAGTACATACCTATGATAAGTAGAGTAGCCGAACCTATTTCCAGATTGAGTCATGCCCCTAATGTAGAGGAATTATGGACCGATGTTCAGACACGTAGTTTTGAATCTTTGAAGAATATTTTACAATCCAATTTGGTGTTACACTATCCAGACTTGAG